CTTACTACCAGCTCATGTGATGAGATCATGTGTCGGCATTAATAACAAGCGAAGCGAGAGCGGCGGATTTCACAGCTATATAGGTAGGCTGGGTCGGGGAAAGCAACAATTTTGATTCCAAGTTTACAGCTATATATATATACTCTCGTTTCACTTCCGCACGTTCTTCTTTTCGCGTCAGTTGGCCGACATATCTCTCAACACAACACTGCCGTCAAAATCTAATGCCTTGGTAATTTACTTGTACTGCTGCCTACCCCTCGATTGCTTTTCTGCCTAAACAACAAACGGGGGAAAATACTTGTGACTAGAGAACCCAATTATTTTCGACAATGGCGATGTAGGTGAGTAATTTGTTGTTTAGATCAATGTAGTCAAAAAGCGTGTTTCTAAGTAGAAAGAAGTATAAAATCGTAATTTTTTTAGTTTTAAAGCACGTTTTTAACTACGGGGTCGTTTGGAAGTTGCGATTGTTAAATAGATATATTGTTGAGAATGCATCTATAATATTATACATGTATTGTCGAAATTGATGCATTGTAGAATACAACGTTTGGTATGTGTGATTGTGTATGTCGCATCAGCTAAAAGCTGAGACAAAACAATCTCAACTCAACTATCTCAAAAATCACAACTAAAAATTGAGATATAACAATCACTCAAAATGAGTGATAGTTTTTTGTCACATCATAGAAACAATTCATGTATTGTTTCTGCTAAAAAAACAAAAACAAAACGATGCATTGTAAACGATACATGCATAATGATAATCTCAACAAAACAATCGCAACTTCCAAACGACCCCACATTAGCTCTAAAAACTGTGATATTGTGTAGAAGCATTTTGGTGGCCTAGAAACTTAAAACCGTAAGTTTTAAAGCGCGATTTTGACTACATTTGTTTAGATAAACCTAATACCTGTGGATCACTTGTGACATCTCTTGGTCTCGGATCTGCGAAGAGAGGAGGGTGGGGGGGGGGGGGGGGGGGGTTGATCCATATCCATATATGAATTTGGCCACACTACTCTGTACACTATGTCGACCTTACTCACCTAATATTCGACTATGAACGTTGAAAGAGTATCGTTACTCACCTAATATTCGACTATGAACGTTGGAAGAGTATCGTTGCGCCTACAATACATTTTTCGTAACACATTGGTCACGATAACAACTATTGTTACCGGACTTTTACTTAAAGTGATAGATCATATGATAACCAAGACTTGTACACATCATAACCATCTTTATGGGCACCAAAACGACCCCCAAGCAGTAGAGGTGGCAATTAGGATCCAAATCCATGAATCCAATCCAATCCATCCACCAAATTATCCACCTAATCCAATCCATTTAAATCCAATCCATTTGATCCAAATGACAAATTACAATTTAATACCTATATTTTACATTTTGGTACCTAAAATTTATATTTTTATAGGAAAAAATCATTGGGAAATTACATTTTGGTACCTAAAAATTTTCATTAATACATTTTAGTACCTAAACTTTTCAAAATTTACATTTTGGTCCAAGCCTTGGATGTCATTTGGATTCATGGATCAATCCACCAATCCATTGGATTCAATCCATGAATCCACCAATGCATTGGATCCAATCCATTTGATCCATGGATCCACCAATCCAATCCACGAATCCGATCCAATTGCCACATCTACCAAGCGGCGATCGAGGGTCCATGCCGACAGAGTATGTAGTTGAGCAATTGTATTCATTAATCATAATTGTACGTGTTGTGAGTGATAGTTTCTCTGTAATTCCCAGTGGGCGCGAGAGTTATACTTATGTATATGGTTGCCTGCCCATTTGCCATATCCAATCCCAAGGGCCACAAAATTAAATGGTGTTTGGCTGACTGTCTAGTTCGCTCATTAGTACCGATGTTGAGGTAGATGGAAAGCTTCTATTTGGGCTATCCTCCCAACAGATTGCTGAATTCCCATTGTCATGTTACAGTGTAATCAGATTGTGATACATTAGCTGGTCGTCCGATTAGTTATGTAGCCGGCGGTTTCAATGTTGTCCAAAAAAATTTGGTCTTTTTTTGGTACTATATCGAGTGAAGTTAAAAGTGTGATTCTACATAGAAGCATTTTGGTTATCTAGAAGCGTAAAAATATAAGTTTTTAAGATTTAAGTCGTAGATTTTAACTATGCTAGTAAGTGAAAAGCGTGATTATCGTATAAGCGTTTTGCTTACTTAGAAGTGTAATCTTTTAAACTTTAACTCGCGGTGATAACTGCATTCTACTATCCAAATTCAATTTATTGTGGATCACATTAAGTTTGACTAATATCACTTTTGGGGTGTATCCATACTCAACTTTTTAGTTTGGATCTAAAAATTAGGCATGTTACATTGGCTATCGAAAAGAAAAAGGATACTCAACTCTATTGCAACTTTTGCCCTTTTTTTCTTTGTTCAAAATCAAACATAAATGTGCAAACACAAACATTAAATATGTTAATCGCTTGAAGACAGTGGTAAGATTATAGATATTGCTTTTTCGCAATTATAATTATAAAGACTCAAATAGATTTATTTGGGTCTGCCCACCTAAATTGGAATGATTATGAACTCAATCAAAACTCAAAATCATTAAAAGTGCATTTGAACCCGGCACGATGTCCATAAAAGTAATGGAAATTGGGTGAAATTATCCAATAAATGGATTCATTGCCATCCCTAATAGCGTGTTTTGTAAGAGAAGGTTTGATATTGTTTGGGAAGAACTACCTTTGGAATGCCTTGGCACTAGATCGAGGGTCATCTCCCCCTTGAACCCAGCAAGTCTGACGTATACAGTGGTTGCATTGATTGTTGAAATTGGGTAAGACTACTGAGATTTTTATTCATACGAATTTGAATTATGTCTATGTTCATCTATGATTTCTTATATTCTCTTATTAATTCAGTCAAACCTCTATTTGATCAAATTATATAATAAATAACCTTCTTCAATAACAAGTCAATGGTGCTCAAAATGTTGTGTGTTAACCTTAGGTGGATGTTTATGGTGCTATAGCTACTTGGTTGTTTCAAAGACCAGTAGGTTATCTTCGCCATTGTTCCTTATAAGTTATAATCTAGTTTTCACGCCTATTGTGAAAAATTAATGCTGTGAAAATTTGGAGCTTAAAATAAAGCAATCCACTTACTATGTCAGCTTATTACACCAGTCCTCTTGATTAGTTCATACTAGAGAACACCACATATGAGGTTACTAGATACTAAATTGTCAAACTTGATTTGATGAAGCTTTTGTTTTATGGATAAGGGTGATATAAGTTTCATTTTTTTTTTTTTTGTAATTAAGGTACTATTTAAGGGATTCGAACCTGAAACCTCCAAATTCTAGACTAGTGGTATTACCACTAGGCCAAGCCGTTGTTCGTTTGATTTGATGAAGCTTTTCATTAGTTGGACCGAAAAAGAGAAAGAGAAGAATAGGGATGACAAAAATATCTGTAACCGTGGATATCCGCCCGAATCCGACTTGATTGTTTAGGGTAAAACCCGAACACGAAGGACTTTTAGTGGGTACGGGTAAAACTTGAACCCGAATATTACGAGTAATGGGTGGGGATGATTTTCTCACTATCGAATCTGAACCCGCCCAATTATACACATGCATATGTATTTTGTCTAAAAATAATCAATATTTTTCTCTAAAATATTTTATATTTAGCATGTAAATATAATACTTTTATGAAATTATGTTGTTTTAATTAATTTTCTTCATTCTAGTGAATTATTGTTGTACTTTTCGTCTTACATAACGTGAGAATACGTGTGAATATTAACATATTGATTAGAGTTATAAAATGAAACTATTACCCTTGGATAACCATGGATACCCGAAACCCGAACGAGTATGGGCATGATTTGGATTTTCTACCCATTTCTTATGTGGGTATGGGTAAAACCCGAACTACTTTGGGTAGGTAACGAATATGCACTATCCGTCCCCGACCCATTGTCATCCCTAGAGAAGAAGCTTTTTGGTCCAGCTCTTTCTCTAAGTTATTTGGCCATTATTTTCTACAAGTATACTTGATTGACGATGTTGACTTTTGTTTTTATGTTTTGCAGATCATTGGTTTTCAACCCGGAGATTCATAGTGAAGACTCCCTGTTTCCGACGAGGAAAATCTAGTGTTTGATATTAATGATTTGCACCTT